CTAAGGAGCAGGGTTCAGTGTGGAGGTATTTGTAAGACATGTTTGCATTCTTGTTTGCATCCTGGGAAAGTCTAGACTCCTTGGTCTTCCTACTGGTTATTTTATATGTAGGTGCTCTGTTCCCCTCCATGTGGAATGGGCAGGGAGTGTTTCCAGCTATCCAGGCTCTGCCCTTCCAGTTTCGCCCTAGTTCTTGATAGAAGCATTCAGACACTGCCTGGTGACATTTCCCCCAACTCAGCTTAATTGACAGCTTAATCTTAATCTTTGCCCAGTTCTTATCCTTATGCTCAGTGGCATCTGGGGTGACAGAGAATAAGGTCCTAGTGGTTTCCTTTGGCCACTCTCCAGGACCTGGAGTTGTATTACTCTGCACTGGAGTGAAGTATGGGCCGGATCATAGAATCAAGCCCAAGAGCCCTGGAATCAAGCTGGAGAAATTGATGTATTCTGCCATCAATATCTTTTTCTTTGCCTTGCAGGAAAATTCAGTCACCCTGAAATAGTAGAGCTTGTATCTGAACTTGAGGCAGAAAGAAATGCTAACATAGCCTCCGGTGCCCCCCGTGAACCAGGATGCTGAGATGTCTATGTTGCTGCACTTCTGTAACAAACGTTTTATTTTTCCCTTTCATAGTACTGTGTTTTGTTGGTTTGTTGATGTCCCCAGATGTGAGTCTGTTTAGTTTCAGTTGCTTGGAGTCCAGCAAAAAAACATGATGTAATTTGGGCAATAAAAGAAGCCATGGAACAGAATGTGGCCATGAAAACGCCATTGATGTAGACTGGGGGCATTGGTGGTGGTGGCTGGGGGGGCTTTACTTTCTATCAACTAAATAAATACATCTTTAAAACCCTAAACTGTGGAATATTTATTGGAGATAGTTAAACCATCTTATTCTGAATTAATAACCTACATCTCTGAAAACCGTATCCATTGAAAGATGGAAAATTTAATTATGATTGCTTTTAAGAACAGATTCTTCAGCTTAGTTACAAGGACCCAGGAAAAAGAATGTATTGTAATGCATTCTCTCCTTAGATGAAATGCTGCTTTATTCAAATGATCACTCTGTGGAGACAGATTTCTCATTTTAGGAGGACCTGCTTTAGCCCCTGATCATAGACTTGTAAACTGGTAACAGGTTCCACCTCTTCCCCTAGTGCTTTTTGTCATTTGGGGATATAAATTGGGGCATGAATCTCCAGTGCCACTTGTCTTCCTCTGTGCATTTTTCCCTGATGGGTACAGAACTTCAGACCTGATTATAAGAACACTGATCACCAGGTGAGAAATATATAGTAAGAAGAGTATTGCTGGGGTCATTGGACCTTAAGTAGGGAACACTCAGGCCCCATTTCTTCCCCCATTTCCCTTCCAAGGGTAAGTAATCCACCCTGCTTGCCTTTAAATGATGCACAAGAAATGATGCACAACCACTGAACAGTGAGGAAAAAAAGGCCATCCATGTAAACCTGCCCAGTATTTTGGTGTGGAATAAATGATATCTGTACCTTTAATTCAAATGTCAGTTTTCATTTGAAGGCCTTTAGGCTGGCATGGTGAGAATTCTAGGCAGTGTTTCTTTGGAAACCGCAGTATCCATGGATACCCAATTTGCAGGAAGCAAAGTGCATGATCTCTTTAGAAGCAACTCACACGTGTACATGTAACTGCTCTGCATTGGAAAGAGCAATGCCGCTGCATCAGAATACTGTCACATCGTTGCAACAGTATTTAGAAAATGGTAAATGATTGAAAATCAGCAAAGTCAGATTATTATTGGAGATATGGTTAGTTTGGACACAATCTACCAGTATTTCAGAGTCTTCTGGTATGAAAACATGCACACAAAATAACGCCAGATAAAATTAAAATATCTATAACCAGATTTTCTGTGGCTTTGGAGTTTTATTTGGGATTTTCTGCCTGCTGTAATTTTCACAAATTCAGAGACACTTTGGAAGCCTCTACTGAGGCAGACTTAATAATACTAGTCATTTAATCATTATGTCAGTTTTCCATCTGCCTACCAAATGAGGGTTCACATTTAACCCTAAACCTTCCTTACTGAGGGGGTATGTTTAAAAATAGAAAATGTAATGGTACTATAAATACCACTTCATAGCAACAAAATGAAGGATCAATACAGAAGACATTTACTGAACTCATTGGTCAATGTCTACAAATATCTCATTATCACTTAAAGTTTTTCCTCAGATACCTGCTACTTGCCTGGAATTGGTCTTCTGAGTAACATCCTATTATTATGATGCAAAGTGAGTAATTATTCTTTGGTTGAACCGAACAAAAAAGAATTCTTATCTCCTTAGAATGAAGAAGAGAAACCACTGCACTCAAAAAAGGAGGATGGAAGCCTGGGCTGCACAGGAGGAGGAGGGGTCACCTTGGGGCAGTTTTCCCTGCCAGGATCCCTGGGCTGGCTGTGGTGGGGTGGGGGTTCTTTCCCAAAAGCAATTCTTTGCTTCTCCCTGTGGACTGGCATTTCACCAGCTGTTAGGTAATTTTTAATACCCTTGTATTCAAAAAATGTTGATTCTGACAGTGTCCAACCTCTTCACCTCAGTCTAGTGATACATGCTTTGAGATAAATGACTGAAGTGCCTTGTAGAAAAGCATCCTTTGTATACAGCATTTTTATTTAAGTAAATTTGCCAGTCTTCATATTCAAAGTGAAACCAGGGATGATTTCTCTGGGAGACATGATTATGTAATCTTGGCTTTGCCTTGATAGATACTCCGTATGGTATGAACTAAAGTCAGGCAGAAATGTAGAATAAAGAATTTGACCATTCTTAAATAGAGATGATCAAAAGTAACATTAAGCTTTTGAAATTATATTTGAACACCAGACTCAAAAAGTTTTTTTACATTTTCTATTTAAATCACTTTAAACTTTACCACCATCTTCCTTTATCACAGCTGCCCTCCAATTTTATAATAGGTGAGTGTTGTGGTGAAAGTTCACAACATTATGCACCATTTTATACTGAAGTTCAACAACTTCCAAGCTGATAGCTAATTATGTAACAATGAACAATGACGGAGCAGCTTAGATTCCCAGTGTTCTCATGCTGACTACAGTGCATGGCGTAGCATGTCAAGACATTCCATAATAAAACATGCAGTTTGTTCTGTTTTCTATGGTCCAAGCAACAACTTTATAAGAATATGTGTCATTTAGGGTAAAAAAGCAGATTGCTTTGCTGACATCACCTACCAACAGACAGTAATTATGAGATGTGAGTTATAAAGTTGCAGCATAAATTTATGAGTATTTGCCATCAAAGCAACAGCACTTAAAAGGAGGCAAATTGTTGAATTACAGAATTGCTTGCTTTTTAAAAAGCCTGTTTACTTTGTCATCACAATTCATGCTGGAACTCTCGATTACTGAGATAACATTTGTTGTGGAGTAATTTCATGTAGTGTTGACCTGAAGTCATTTTGTTAATAAAAGGTTATGGCCATCGTATGTGAAAACCTTGGAGCACTTGCAGAACACATCAAACTATGTGAACTGAGCCCAGATGAACATAATAGGAAAAGTGAGGAGCCAGTCAAGCCACAATGATCTTGCACATTTGCAGTAAGAAATAGCCAGCTCTTGAGTGATTAGGCAGTGAGGAAATGAAACCTCTACGCTAAGACTACCCGCTTACCAACAACTGATTCGTTTAGTCAAAGAGTGATATGACTTATTCACACACATCTTAGGACAAAGTGAGAAAAGACTACCATGTAGTGGCCATTATGTCACTCTGATAATACCCTTTTCAGTTAGTAAAGGTGACATGAATATACTCTACAAAACTGATAAAGTTAGCATTTTTGAAAACTGGTTTAAAATAAACAGCTGAAATATATTTGAAGTGTTGCACTATTAATACTAATTTTTGATTGTTTTTTTATCCTATTTTAATAGTATGTTTCAGACGGTAAGGCTGAGATCACTGTGTGCAGAAATTGGTTGGTGAATGAAGGTACTTGTTTATAGCAACCTGACTACTTTTCCAGTACAATGCAGTGTGCTGAATGTGGTCAAAAAGGTGGCGGCTGTGAGTTTTCAAAAGGTGACTATTCCAAAAACACCAGGCAAGAACAGATTAGGCACAGAGAGATTGGGTGTCAGCACATAGCAGTGGGCGAGCAACACAGTCACAGGCCAGCTGGATGGGGTTTGGCTTCAACCAACAGGCAGGAAATATAATTAGGGAGAATGCCAAAGCTTCTACTGGCAGGGCTTCTTTGTCCACTCTGGTTCGAGTTTATAGCCCTACACATAAGACCTCTGCTAAGACTTCAGGCCTCAGAGATTATGTGGCCCTAAACCAGCTTGATTTTCAGCTAGGTGTATGGAATGTCCTCCATTAATGTGAACAGAATTTTTCAGACTTACTTTATTTCACTATATCACATATATCCACTTCTGCTTAATTAGAAATTTAAAAATGAATTCTTAATATACTAATATATATAAGGATAATATATATATTCAATTGTTTTTTTTAAGTTAGTAGGTCTACTCTGTGTGCATTTAAAAAATGTATCTACAGAATTTATCTCTGCTACCTAGTAACAAATGTACATCCTTATTTAGAAGGAGCAGCTGATGATGTTATAAAAGTTACTGCAACAATCTGTATTAATATGATGCTTTTCTCATTCATGTGGCAATTTGTAAACTGGAAGAGGTTGCAGAACTCTGCTTCTCCCATTTTCTGGCAACCCCCTTTTCAGGGGATATCCCTTACCTGCCTGAGCTAACAACTACTCTATGTAGATCAGAGCGTTTTAGAATTGGAGATTATTTTACTATCCTGGAATAGCTGAGGTTCTAATTACTTAAATAATATCCACTCGCCTATTCATCAAATTCACAGAAGTTGATTTAAAAGAGCAGCTCCAGAATTATAGCTACCACCTTTTAAGGTCATCAACAGCCCTGAAGACTTAAATTAAGAATTCAAAGTCATCATTTAAAATCCATTATTTTAATTGCTTAAATAAACATACATTAATAGAGGTAAGAGTGATTACAAGCAGTTGGATGGAATTTGCAGCAGGTCAACCCATTGCTGGAGGCTGTCAGAAAGAGCTCCTTGATCCCACTAAACTAAAAGGGGGTGTTCACTTAGCCTTCAAAGACATGCATATCTTAAAGGGGTCTAAGCAAATAAAGCAAATAGTAGCTACGATGGGAAAACACATCTTGAATTACACAAAGATAAGGGTTATGACCAACCACCGTACCTGCTTAAGAGGGGGCATTTTAAAAGACGACAGTCAATGAGGTGTGATGGTCAAGTGGTTCATCATCAACACAAATACAAATGGAAATCATTCTATTAAACTTTGGGTGAGGCCATTTGAAGAACAAGGTCAAGGCCTGTGTTTTTCCCAGTGGGATTTTGGTCTTCCTCTCCGGGTGTGCGCCGCGGGCGGCCCTAGCACTGCAGCTCCCCGTCCTGGGCCCGCCGGGGGCCGCCCTCTGCGCTCTGCGCGCTGGCCTGGGCCGCGGAGCTGAGCACCTCCTCAAAGCTGCCTCCGCCGTGGTTCGTCCCGCCTACTTTCGTCTGAAACGTGCAGACACACAAAAACGCAGTTAGTTCATTATTTCTGTAGTGTTTTTGTAAGATTGATCACTTTCAATTTCAGCAATTGTATTTTTCTTGAAGGGAGATGTAGTAAAGGCTGCAGAGAGGTTAATTTCCTTTAGCAGAGTAGCAGATGTCATTCATACTTGGTTCTGTAATGGGAGTCGAAAACTTCAATCCTGTACAACTTCAGCAATTCTCTATTCTCCTCCATCTAAGAATCTCAGTCCCTTCAAGAGCATATCTGGATCCGTGGATTTGCATTGTCCACCCACTCACCCAGAGAACTGATGTAGAAATGAAAACAGAACTAGATTTTAGATAAATTCCCTGATTTAAAAAATGTATGAACATCGTTAAATGACTTTAACTTAGATTTTTCTATTTGGAATTAAGCAAGGCAATTTGGATTTCTGACAAATATCTTTTGAAAAGGCAGTGCTGCTCAACTGAACATGACTATTGGTCTCTGAGAGTTAAATTGTAAGCACTAGTCTTTTCACATCTTTGTAAGCAGTTGCCTTTAAAAGGAGGAATATCCCTTAAAATGCAAAGTTACAATGTTTTACGAGGCTCCCTTTTTGTGTATTTGCTGTTGGCTAATACAAATAGAATCAGGAAAAAAATCTATTTATAATTAATATGGTTAAAGTATTCTGAAAATCGGTCATTAAAAAGTCTTTCAAAAGAATATCTAATGGTCCAAATGCATAATGCAAGTTTTACTAATGGTCACATTGATCTTCCTTTAACCATTAGTAACACGGAAAAACACTTCAAGGAAGAGAAAGGTATAGAGAAAATGGTGCAATTCCCAAAATGCTGCCTATTCCTGTCACCAAAGCGACCTTTCACAAGAACATAACTCACCCTGGGGGATGTGTCTGCTTACTGTCTGGTTCATCCTTTAAAAAACTGAATGAGGGTTTAAAGGCAGCCCAGTCAATGCAGAACAAACACTTCTCTCCAATTATTAGAACATCTTTCTCTGCCTCTTTAAGTTCAGTTACTAAGTTGAATGTTTCCACTCTGCTTGGGGTCAGAAAACTTGTTCTGAAAAGTGACAGATAATAAATATTTTATGCTTGGGAACCACATAGTTACTGTCACAGATCCTCAAAGCAGCCGTTGTGGAAAGCAGCCAAAGACAGTGCACAAGTGACTGAGCCAGGCTGTGCTCCAAAAAGACTGTGTATGGACACTGATTGTGAATCTCATTTAATTTTCAAACATCATCAAGTATCATTCTTCCTTTGACTTATTGCCAACCATTAAAAAACATACACTCTGAGCTCACAGACCATTCAAAAATAGGCCACCAGCTAGATTTGGCCCACCAGCCTTGGTTTGTGGACCTCCAGCCCAAAGAAAAGGATCCCTCCTCCACTCTTTTATCTTAGCACTAGGAAGAAGTGGGGGGTTGCTTACAACTACGTGATTTTTCACTTTATTTCTTCCCTAAGAGAAACAAGATTAATTCATTGTAAATCTACTTTACTAATAGTTCCTATTCTCCTCTTTATTTGCACTTTCTTCTGCAATAGTAGTCACACACAGGATTGAATAAGGTGAATCCCAGTTACTGATGTTTCCTTTTGGGCTTTGTTGCATTCTTTCTCCTAGTTCTTGATTTCCTCAAGTCAAAATAGAAAAATTAAGGAGGATGGAACCATTTTAAAGAAAGCAATTTGGCAAAAAAGGGAGGAGAATAAAAGAAATCTTACTGCCTAAGCAAAGATGTGAACAATGAACTTCCCCTGGACCCTTCCCTTCATCATGGTTTTTCTGACCAAGAATTTGTCCCCAGAATTACGATTGTTCTTTGCATAACATTATTTGAATTACTAAATTGGGTTTCCTAATCTCTCATAATAAAACAGCTGGTTGACAGAACCTAAAGAAAATATCTTGCCTTTTTCTATTAAGATTTTAATTCAGGCCATGCAATGTGTTCATCAAAGAGTAGGTGAATACTAAAATATGGTCTGTTTGACCAGTGGTTGGAAGGGTGTAGCTATTTATGATTCACTGGAACATGGCAGAATATACCAAATATGGTTTTACAAGAGCTGGCTCTGGGTCTGCTTGCTTGCTTGTTTGTTGTTTTAGATGAAACAGAACTATGCTCAAGTGTCCATGTGAAACGAGCTGAGATGTCATCAAATAATACACTGATTACAAGAATGTAGGCAGAAAGAACTAAATTTTGTACAATTATGATGAATTGGAAGTTTTTCATGGAAAATCAAGCTATCACCAGATTTGGGTATAAAAGAAGACCAATCAATTGGGTGCAAATGCCACATGGTGTGTGTCAGATTGTGTGAGAAGATGGAGAGGACCTCACTTTGCAGCAGAACACTGTTTCTAATACAACATAAATATTAATATGATCCCTTTAAGTGGTGTTTTAAAAATCAACTTAAAGTAGTATGTGAATGGACATGCAGCACATAGACTTGCAAGGAATTTCCCCCTCCTTACTGATTCATGAGTCATTGTCCTGTGCATATCAGGATCCATAACTGAAGAAAGTTATAGAAATGTTAGAGAAGATTTAGAACACAAAAGTATACTATACAGAAAATACACTATATAAAGAAAGGTTAAAATACCTATTATTTACTCTTGGGCTATAAGAACCTAATCAAAGGCCTCATAAAGTAGAGGTAGAAAACTATGTGAAAGACCCTCCCCTAAGGGGAAAGATCCTCCAGGTAAAAATCAGTCACAGCATCAGGGACCTCTAGCAAAGGACTTACACACAGACTCTCAGCAGACAGCCCATGTGAGAGGAGCACGGTGCTCGAGATTCAGAGGCACCTACATAACCAGCATGTGCATAGATCTGCTCTGGATCTGGTTAAAGACCATATGTATTCCTAATTTTTCCAGTAATAGGGACATATAAAAATGGATTATATGCAAAATAGTGATAATGGTACCAATGACATCAAGAAGTAATTAAGTCATTGTTCAGGTGGTACCTTCAAAAAAAATCTTAGTAGTTTCAATGATTTTTCCTGCTTTAAAAGTTCTATACATTTTAAGACTAATTTTCTTTTTACTCTTTTTTTTTCTGTAGATTAACTTATCCATGTTCAAACAATAAATTCAATGAAATTTTTTAGCATCTACCATGTTAACAGGCATATTTTCAGTTTAAACCCAAGGATCAAGTGCATTATTATTACATGGTACATTTTATGACTCAGCCTTATTTCCCCTCCATGATAACAATACTATTTTGTGCTCAGTGCATGAGTTGACTTAACAAGACTAGGTGGATGATGGGTAGTGGATGGCAGTATAACAACACATGGAGCAGGCTGCTTTTTGCTGGTCACGTCCAAACCAGAGGAGCACTGGGCTGTTACTAAATTTCACTCACACTCTAAATTCAGAATTCACATATTGTTTACCCTATCCCCCCGCAATCTGCTCTCACATACCTACTTTTTGGAGAATAGCATTAAGAGTTCCAACCAGTAAAGTGATGAACATAGACCCTAATTTCCTTTAATAACCAATTCACCCCCAAAATGGTTCATGCAAACAATTTTAAAAGGAGACAGCAACACTATTCAATACCACTTTTATTACTATATTTAAATGTGAAGGACTGCCGGCCTCTGTTCATCTGCCTTCTTGGCTGCAGGGGAAACAAGTGGCCTTGCCTGTGGAACTAACCGCAGTGGTGACTAAGCTGTCCCGATTCAATGGACCCAATGACACAAAATTCATGTCATCTGTACCTTAAGGCTTGTGACAGTTGTCTCAACCCTCTCCTCAAATGATTTGAAAGTAGGAGAATTCCTAAAATAACAACAAAAAAAAGAGAGATCAGCTCCGAAGACCTGGCTGTCTCAGTAACCATGCTGTGGGGCTTTGTGCTCTTATTTGTAAACGTCATCTCTGCATCAGTGCTGCCAGTTTGCCACCTGCTCCAACCATGTCGTGAAACATATTTCACTTCTGCTACGTTAGATCCAGAAACCATAACCTGAACCTGACAGGGAATTCTGCTAAGTACCATAGTGAGATACTCAATTGTAGAATAAATAGTCACTGTAGGATAAATAATAATAAACTTGGCAGTGATGTAACTGTAGTCATCCTCTAGGGCGCTGTAAATCATTTCCAGTGAGTGAAGGAGAGAGAGCTTAGCCTTTCATTTACTAATTAACTGTTTCTAGCACAACGCTCCTTTTCCCACCTCCAGTTTTTTGGAAACGATGGAAAGTCTACCTGAAGAATATCATGTTTGAGCTTCTCCACTTGGAATTTTTAAAGTTATTTGGTTCAGTGAATGTGAGAAGAGAAAGAAATAGCTCAAGGGGGAAAAAAAAAAGATTCACACTTTTTTCCTTTTCCATGCCTTAAAAGTAACCATATTGTCAATTTCCATAAAGTGGTCTTTCTGAAAGTCAATGTTCTCATTATTTCAAGTTGAAATATACCCATTACTTGTCTAATGCTTGATCAAAACAGTGTTATGATATGAGCACATGTTATTTTTCCTCCCAGAGGGGCTATAACTTTGTTCTCTTACCAGACACTCTGCAGTCTATTGACATTTTATGTGTGACTCATTCATTGTGTTAAATAATCTATATACCATCTTGTTGCTTTAAGCAGTAGATACTCCTCCATTTGGTGCTTTTTTGTTTCCTGTACTGGAATTGGCCACATGACATTATGATTTAATGACATGATTACCATTAAAAGTGATATCACCAAGTTCAACAAAAGAAACAGGAACTGAAGTAAAAATGTATCTTAAATCTTGTATCCAGTTCATCTGTCACCAACAATGGCCACCATTTTCAGGTCAAATAATTCAACTGAATGTTACTATATTTGATATGCCACTTGTTAGTCTCTCTTGAGTGCAGAAGAAATAAAAATGAGGGGAACAGCCTGGAGAATTGTCATAAGGGAGAATGGCTGTAAAATATGAGCCTCATTATATGTTGTGGGGTGAAGCATGGTTCTAATATTTTCAAGAGGAAGTATGTTTTTGAATCAATTTGGCTTTGTGAGGGATTGCCTCCTCAGACTGACACTCCAGATGGTGAGAAATGCATTTGCATTCAAGCTGTATGAATTAACAATTATGATTTCAGAGGGCCCAAGTATGGCATCATGCCTTGTATATGCTTCAAACATGAGTCAAATTCCTATGAGGAATCCTATAACACACCTCTGTTTCACGATGAAATACTACAATTGAACTTATAATTGAATGAATCAAAAGGATGCACTTATTGGCACCTTGCTTCCATTGCAGGTTTTATTTGGCCAAGCCTGCACACATGACTGCCTGACATCCTCAAGTGACCACATCCTCAGGACTACAATGGGCAGACAGTTCAGCCTAAGGGTTCATAGGTACATGTTAGAAGAGTAAAATCATTTTTTTTAAGTTAATTTTAGGCAAGCTCATGAGAATTGCACTTGAAGACCCATAAGCCAATAGACAACTGATTCCTGTTCACAGACCAAAACCATGTCAATTTTTGGCAAGCCTTCCTTGGACACCCACCCTTAAAAGCTTACAGGTATAGGAGCTCAGAGCCACAGGCTACACTACTCCATTTGAGTGTTCTTATGCACGGAGAGCAAGTCATCCAAAGATGGACCAAACAAGCTTGAATGTGTGCGTCTGTTTACCACCAAATTAGGGAAATGAAATACTGTGGTTAAATTTCCAAAGTAACCAATAACCCCAGAGTAGAAGTCACATCATCAGACATAATAAAGCAGACATTCCTCTAAATTACACTAAATTGCATGCTGGATAACAGGGAGAAACCATTTACTCAGATTTAATCATGTCATATACAACTACAAACTTTTAGCACTGCCAATGACACTGGAAAGCATCTGTCTTCAGTGGTCTCAGACTATGCAGAGTAACAGAACCCCTCTGTAACATACTCATACCACACTAGGTAATAGCAAGGAAGCAGAAGGGGCACAGTTCTAACTGAAGTGGGGGAGGGCCCAGGGGCTGACCTTTCCCCTACCTCCATAGCAACCCAAGACAAACACAGCGAGAAGAGCAGGTAGGTCATCTGCTTCCAGCCTCTTATTTTAAATCTGATGAAATGGGTATCACTGAAGTGATTTTTACCAAGGCTGCAAAGTTCGTTCTTTGCAGAGCTGGGCTACAACCGGCATCTTCTGATTCCCAATCTAACACTCATTCCTCTATCCTTGATTACTATTCATGTGATTTTATCTGATTGTTATCACTAAGCTATGCAAACTTGAATGGGGAATGTCTTTCTCGGAAGTTTTTATCCAGCCAGTAATTTTAATGACATTTCTTTGTTCATTAGGCACCTCACCTTAATATCGACCTTTAAAAAATCCTAATGATATCCTTTCTAGAACTATAACCCCCTTAGTCTCCTATTCTTTCTTTGAAACTTTCTCCCAGGCTTGCACTTAATTCTACTGAAATAAGAAATATATTTCCACTTTTGTAAGTATGCTTGGAATGTTCCAGGCCTTATGTTACTGCTTTACACAGGTTACTTTGTTCACATCTCATGTCAAACATATGGAATAGGTCTTCTATCTCCTAATATAGGGACAAGAGCATGGAGATTAAGACAGATTTAAGAAACCTGTCTCAGGTCCCAAGAGCCGGGAGAGCTGGGATTTAAGTCAGTGTGTCTGGTCAAAGGCCCAAACGCATTACACCATATTCTGTAGAATTGTCAGCCTTTTCTCCCGAAGGCCATCAGAAAACAGATTAAGGCTGGTCACGGCACTTCCTTTCATATAAAAGGGGAAAAAACAAAGTTAAGTATCAAGAAAGTAACGCTTCATACACAATCTGCATTAACGTTATGTAAAATTGACACACATTACCTCATAGCAGGCATACTTATGGAATGGCGAATGGAGTAGCTTCAGGGCAAAAGCAGATTAAAGGAAAAAAGAAAGAAAAAAGAAGACAGCACAATGTTAGTACATGAGAAACTCCCCATTCAGAGTTCTAAAACAGCAGTGTCAACTGTCTGAAGTCTTCCCTGCTCAGCCCACCAAGATGACACTTGTTTTCATTGGGTAGGTTGGGCCACAGTCACTTCCAAGCATATAAAGGAAGAGTAGATGGTCCACATGGGTACATATTATTTTGCTTCTTGAAGGTTTCCCGTAGGCCAGGAAATCTGATGAGAATGTCTGACCTGCACAGCATGACCCACAGGTCAGCCAGGTCAGCCCAGTAGCTTGGCCATCCTCTCCAGTCCAACTCCTTCTGTCTTCCCTTCTGTTCAGTAGGACAGGCAGGGCAGCACCCAGGCAGGTAAAAGCTTATCATTCTACTGCAGAGAAACTTTCCAGAGGTATGTATGCAGTTCACATATGATATTCAAGGAAATATGGCAGGCAAACACAGTTCACACACTCCACCATGGCAGCAGGGACTTCTGCATCCATTCTAGTACATCTGTACTAGTACATCTAGTAACATCTCTGAAAATTGTAAGAGCTTCAGCCTTCTCACCCTGTCAATCTCACCCTTGCCTAGCAGTATCCCCTGAGGTCACTGGTATGGGCAGCACTTTATTAAAACTGGGGAAGGAGAGGACAAAGAAATGCGGGTCATACTTACGGCAGACCCTAGACAGTCACCTTAGAAACTACAGACAAAGCATTTCCTCAGAAAATACATTAAAAAACGGTTTCTAAAAGAAGTCTGTCGGCATTATCAGGCTATTCATCTCTTTAAATACAGTTTACCTAGGGAAAAATTTCAAAAAAAAAAATGTATATAGTGAAGATTCCAGCTAAAAGAAGGCTTAATCCAGAGGACTGGGGCTCTGGGGCTGACAACTGTGTATTTCCTCACAGACGTGCTCTTCCGAAAACCTTTCTTATTTTCAACCTCAGAAGGTACAGGAAGTTGAAGGTGAATCCTCCGTATGAGCAACAGTTACAAGACATTCAGAAAAACATGACAATCTAGAGAAAATAATTTTCTGCTCTCCACTTTACTTTCTAAACATTTCATGAAAATACACGACTCTCCGTTTCCACTTTCTTTTTCCCTTCTTTCAGTTCTAAGAAACTTTATATGGGGACGAATGATGCAGAAAAAGGGATTCCAAAGGGATTGCTCAGCAAGTGAAATGGGAATAAATGATTCAGAAATGAAGCAAATATGTGCTTAAATAAAATCAAATGCATTAGGCGCCCTCTACTCTCAGGAAAAGAGTTCTAGTTTTTTGGCGGGGGCACCCCCACAGTGTGAAAGCAGCAGAGGGCTCTGGGAAGGAAGGGAGCGGCCAGGGGGCCGGCAGGGCCCGTGGGCAGCGCTTACCCGATGGAGTGAGATCTGCAGCCCAGGCAGCACAGGAGAGAAGAGCAGGTGCACAGTTAGCGTATCAGGATGCAAAGCCATGACCACACTGCCCACTGTTCCCTTTTACAAGCGCCCCGAATCAAGGATGAGGTGACTCCACTCATGACTTTTTCTGAGTGTACTGACTTTTTAATGTGTGGTAACAATCACTTTACCAACCTGCTGTAAGTTGTGCATCTAACTACTATTCTCTTGGATAGAGAGAGTATTGGACTCTCAAATAAAATTATATGCCTCTCCAAAGATTTCCATTTCCACTACATCATCACATGCAATTTGAACAAATTCACCGAGAAGTTTCCAAGATGATGTCATTATTGGTACAAAATGATCCCAACAGCGTGCAGTTCTTCATGCTTTCATAAATGTGACCCATTTTAACCTCACAGGAGACATTTCAGTTAGGCAGCTTTTAACAGTGTTATTTTAAAAATGGAGAAGGAGACAGAGCAATGCTGTGCCCGAGCAAAGGGGACTTCACTTAATGACGATCCGGAGAAATGGCGATCTTAGCTTGGGAAATACTACTTATTTTTATAAGACAAATTAAATCTTAACAACGCTTTTCATTCTAGGCTTTCAAAGGCCCAAATTCTAGACTTTCAAAGCCTGTAAGTATTGGAATTATTTTATAGAAAAACAGAAAGGTATTGAATTTTATTGATTCAAACAAGTTCAGAAATTTGTCCCCAGAATGCACAAAAGAATATTATAATGTAACTACAAAAATATAGAATATAATACGTTTTAAGCCAAAAAGGGGTTCAAAGTAAAATGTCTGTAATAAAATTTTTAAATTTCCCCATTTTATTTTAAAATAGGCAAATTAATTTGAATAAAAACTTACTAAATTTTCCTCACATAAGAATATTTATTATATTAAACTTAAGCAATTTTCATATATGACATATATATTCCTTGTTCCAGCATAATTTAAAACCAAAAATTCTTTGTAAAACTTGTTGCTTTCACAGGGATTATCTTCATTTATATGCAAATATCATAAGATGTTATAGTTTGAGGAAAATATAGTTCTGAATTTTACAAACTCTACAAAATATTACAGGACCATGTGTAAGTCTCTAGTAACATAGGCTACACTTCCCAATATTTTTAGCCAGTTTATGAATGAAAGTGTTGTATCCTCTATATATATATATATATATTGCAGTAATTAATGAAAAGTTTGGAACTCTTGGGAAATGGGTTATCCATTAGGCTAAAACAATACCACATTGATACAAAAGGAAAAGAAGTTAGCACAACCTTGATATTATATCCAATTAGTGTATAAACATGAATATGTCAACATATTACATATGTGAAACACAGTCTTCATTGTTTTCCACTTAGAAAAATGAGGAGTCTTTATGGAATACAGTGCATTCTCGCTAACAGACTTTCCCTAATTTCTATCACGTGCAGCCAGCCACCTTGTAACTCAGTCACTTAGGAAAGATAAAAGCTAGCATTTATTGAGTATTTAATACATGGCAGGCTCTTTTCTGCTACTTTTATATCAACTAGATGCTTGTTGTTACTTTTATTCCTATTTTGTAACTGAGAACACCCAGGTGAGCTACTACATCTGGCCTCCTCATAACCTGACCACCTGAAGTAGAATCACCTGGGAGCTGGTTACAAATGCAGATTCCTAAATTCCACCCAGGACCTACAGAGGCACAATCTCAGAGAGGAGGAATCTGGAAATACATATTTTAAACAAGTTTCAGAGGTGTTTTTCAAGTCCCTAAAGTTGGAGAAACAGCATGCTAGCATTACACTGAGCTCCCAGTGTTCGAGTGAAAGGTTTCAACTAAGTATATGGAGAACAAAATATATTTTATTGGATATAATAAGTAATAGGGTATTTCTTATTTAAAGGAATTATTTAATTAATTTAGATAAATGTTTTAGTGCCATTAAAATGACTGCAAACTTTATTTGTAATAAAATTAGGGTTCAATAATAATCCAGAAGGTACCTATTTGTCACATGTGGCCTCTGAAGAATTTCAATTGCTTTTCATTATTGCATTATTAGTAAATATGAAGATAAAACAAGTTACTCAGATTCATGTACACTTAACTCTAGTCTCATGAATGCCAAGTTGTTAAGATGGTGCATGATTGGGCACAATCCAGCAATTTAAAGTCAAAAAATAACTTGTAATGCACAGATTTTTTTAAAGAAGGAATTTAAAATAGCCTTGAAATGTTTTTTAAAAATGAATTTGATTTCTAGAGAGAAAAGTAAAATTGGTCTATGAAGAAAAATCTAAGTATATCAGCCAAATTCAAAATAAACTACAATAGGTATTTAAATAAGCAAAAAAATATGACAATAATGGCTCTGTATTAGAAAACTTCCTAGAATGAAATATAAAAATAAAAATCATCAATATTGCATTGTTTTGCTAGTACCTATAGTGAGGACATTTGGTTCTTAGTTCAAAATTATGATGTTCACCCTAGTTTTACATAATAGTGAATACTGAAAATAACCAATATGTGCAAGAGACCTTGTTTAAAATTTTGTTACAGCTATATGCTAGAAAATATTAAAGTCACTAAAAATGAACATGTAATAAACATTTATAAACATATTCACAATATATTGCCTAAGTAAAGAAAAAAAATTACCAGGAGTATATACCATATGGTACCTTTTGGGAATAGAAGAATAAATATGTATCTATTTAGCATAGAAAAAACATACTAAATGGATGTATACTAAAATATAACCTAGTTTATCAAAGCATATTTCACTGAATGCGTATTTTAATATATTGTTTAAATTACAATGATTAAAATTCAGTTATATATTGCATTCTTTTGAAATCTTCCTTCATCACTAGTGATAAAAGGCACTGTTTATCTATTCTTACTCAGTTGGGTCCTAGTGGAAAGGACATCATTGGACCCAGGCCTACCAAGCTGACTTTTAGGCAGCAAACGTCCAAATATAAAAATTTGTCTCAGTCACCCATCACTACCAACCACATAAAATGTAACCCAGTAAAAACCTCCAACATGTTAGGAAGACGAGCTGATAGATAACGCTCCCCTTCTCCCAGAAAGCCAAGGGCTGAGCACAGTTCCCAGGGTTCTTGCCCACAGTACCTCATGTCCCCAAACTTCCTGCTGATGGCCGTCCCAACGTTGCTGAAAGCTGCAGTTGCCTTCTGCCCAGCGTGACTCAGAGTTTCATGTGTTTTCTTGTAGCTAGAGGTAAAAAGGAACAATTGTAATGCAGTTTACATATCATGATTGCCCATAGAACATTCACTGTTCTTCTCTCTTTGAAAATTCCTAAGTGTATTTAGGAAAAAAAAAAAGACCTACAGAAGTAATTGCTTCTATTCGTTGTTTGGGGATGACTGGTTGGTGGCCACTCATCAGAGGGAAAGTTAGACCATTACATCTGAATTCAGGAAAAATGTATACATACAAGTACAGATTTGAGTGTGCAGATTGGGTTTTTAATCACATATAGTGGAACTGCTCTAAAAGTAAAGAGCTATTCTTAAATAAGTGTATTAACTCTACCAAGAGACACTGGCAATGAAAGCTCTATAGCCATTAAAGGTGTAGGTCTGGAGAGAGGAAATCCAGGGGCAAAATACCTCTAAAACCGAAATCAGTCAAAGGGAGAAATAAAGTTAATATTCGTTTACAGCTTACAAACTGTCCTCCGGGTCCTTCTCTAGTTCCTGCTCCAGCAGAAGCAAAACCGACACTCCCCTCACCTCTCAGGTACACAGATAAGCCCTCTATTGCCCAGTTGATATGGAGATGGATTTCTCTCCACCCCTGAGGAATAATGCAAATGCACTGAAGCCACTTCTTTCCACCTCCAAATGCCTATTGATATGCAGATGTGCTAAAGCCAGGCAAGATATTCTGGAAATACTACAATTTTACCCATAAAAGGTAACACAGAAATTCTAGAATGTGTACTTCAAAGGGAAATTTAAGATTATTACTGCCAATGTGGGTAAAATTAACCAGAAAAAGGCAAAATATAACTAGTATTTAACTTATTTTTCTAATGCTTACTCCTGGGAATGAGAAGGGCACAAAATCTTAAGATAATATAATGACTTATTTCAAAACAGTTTTAGGAACTTCAATATCCATTCATAAGCTTATGTCTCTCCACTAGACTGATTCCTTGAAGACCAGGAAGCCATTCATCTTTGTGTCCCCTGTGTCTGGCAAAGGGTTCTGGGAGAAACTCAATAAACACTAGATGAATGAATGTATGATCAAAGACAATGCTCTTCTGTGGCTCTGAACTAGGAGAAGTGGCAGTAAGAACAGAGAAAAGCAGTGAATTACAGAGACGGACAGGTCAGACTTGACAGGAGGTTATAAATGACAGATAGATAAACACAGAAAGACTGGCCTAAGGTTTTAAGCATGGTCATGGAAAGGATGGCAGTGTATTCATAGAGCTGAGAAATTGCTAAGACTTATTTAACTAAGTGGGAAACAAAAGGCACCTAACTTAAGGGAATAAAAAGAAATCAGCAAAATTTTTGCTCAGCATTTCGTAACATATGTAAGTCAAGTCATATATGGTACACCTTAAGTGCTCTATGTCATTTTCAAAACTGAAAACAAAAGTTTCATATAGTTTTTTTTTAAACATAAAGTAATTCTTACAATGTACATATCATCATCTTTCAATATATGCTGCTCCCAGGTTAAGTTTCCCCAAGGCTACCTGTTTAGCCTAGAATACTTGCATGTATGTGGTATCTCTGAGGAGACTTTATATCATCTGAAATCAGTTGTGTAGGAACTTCCCATATCCCTTCATCGCTTCCATCTCTCACAAGTCATCTAGTCCTAAATATACACCCAGACTCAAAAGACATGCTTTAAAACATGCCCCTTGGTCTTCCTTGGTGCTGAAATCACTTTATCAATATGGAATTCTATTCTGTTCTTTTTGTTAGCAGGAAGGAGTGAGTCTATAATATTGTCAGCACCATATGTTATTTATTTACACACTGCCTGCTTTTCAGGAAATGTAAAAATTATATAGTGTTTAGGTCATAAAACCAAACCAAATACTCATTTACTAAACAGACATTTCCTATATGGAAAGACCAAGGGGAGTGAATGCCAAACATTTATCTGGACACTAGGAGATAATTTGTGTCTCTGGAGAGAGTTGTGTGGGTAGGACGTGTAGGGAGGCCCCAGATGGCTCTCGGTCAAGCAGGAAATGAGAAGCAAGAAGGTGGATGGCAAACGGCAGGAACAGCTTTTATGGTGTTTGCCTCCTGTCATTTTCCTTGATGGCACAAGAATATCAGCCTATTCAAATTATAATTTTATTTTTACATTTTGCTACATGATTTTAGTTTTTAATCATGGGCAAAAGACAGTTTGATCATGTGAAACCACGGAATTTTAGTTTACACATGAAATAAAATATTAACACCAAACTTGTTACCAGTGATAAGGTAGTTACAGTAAAATATCAGTCATTATTACAAAATTTTACTGAGGATGATCTTGAAAGGGCCTGTGCTGAAAATTCTTCAGAAGAAACTTGCTATAAAACGGTCCTAAAGGAACGCACTGAATGCTTGCATTGATGAGGCTTAGAAAGTCTTTAAAAGAAAGATTTAAAGGCAGTGGCTTTAGCCTTAAAAAGAAAAGGATTTATTTACAAATAAATAAAGGAAAAAGTGGACTTCCTAATCTAGTATTATATTTTTAGGATGTCAACAAAGTTTTCACAAAGTAGGAATGGGGCTGTGAAGTCAGACCTATGAAAAATACCTCTAAAACATGGAATCTGTACACAATGGAATAGAAGGAAACAGTACAAAGTACAGATGAAACATGTTCTTGCACTATGGACTGGAATTTAGGGCTCTTTCTACTCACATTACAATTCTGAAAAATACCAAGGAAAACCTTTCTCTACACATAAGTTCCTCATGCATATTGGTAAGGAAACAGAGTAACCCAGTAAAAACACAAAATAGAAGACTTAGTATCTTCTTTGTTCCCTCTACTCCTTTCACACTCCATACCCAATTCATCAAGAGACCTGTTGGTTCAACCTTCAAAATAGACCTAGAATAACTTGCATGTATGTGGTATCATACATTCTCAGCACCTCCATGCATTCTACCTTGGTTCAATCCACCATCATCATTTAACCCGGCTACATGAACAGTCTCCAAACTAGTCCCCCAACCTCTACCCTTCTCTCTCTACAGTCCCTTCTCAACAGGGCAGCCCGAGTGATCAATTAAAACATGGAGTCAGAGCATCCCACTCCTGTGTCACACCCCTGCACGGCTCCTCACTGCCCTTGGAGTAAAAGTCAAAGTCCACGCGACAGGCCTTAGGATGATCCCACACAAGCTGGTTCACTAACCCCTCTCTCATCCCCTCTTCCTACTTGCCCACGCTGCTACAGCCACTCCGACCTCCTCAACTATTGCTGAAAACTGTGCCTCCTCAACTGTGCCAGGCCCCATACTGCAACAAGACCTCTGCCTTGAGGTTCTGCTCCGTGATCCTATCTCATTTGGCAGTAAAAGGGTTTTGTTGTAAATGCTCCACGTTGAAGAATTAAAAAGACCTAAGCCTGCATCCTTAGAAAGACTGTAAAAGCCACCCTTCCCTGACCAGTCAGGGCTGAGGACTCAGGGGCTTTTGGCCAATGGCTGTCAATAGAATAGGGCTAGGCTCTGGGGGGAAGGGAAAGGGTAGAAATGGGAATCGAGGAATGAGGAGGGAGGGAAGTCCATTGGCACCAACCCGCACTGACTCTGTAAGGCTTGAGAGGTGACAAAGGAAAAGTAAAGAAATATTTCACAATTTCCGTGGCCTCTGTGTGACCAGGAGCTGGGTACTAGTTAGAAAATCCCTTCTTGTGTTGGTCGTGCATTTCTTCAGCCACTTCTTACAATCAGAACAAATATTTGATTTTCTGTGAACTGTTCCATGTAGTTTATGTATTTGAGAATGCTTTGATTTTGAGAAGAGGTAACTTGTGAGCACTTTCTGAATTCAATGGTTTAATTTAAAAATAGCTAGAGACTTAGGGAGCAGTAAGTGTTAGCTACATTGTATTTTAAACACACTTCTATATCAAAATGTGTGGTGGGTGTATACAGACATCTGACTACTTTAATGATGTATTAGTGACATTTATGTCCTCACTGTGAAAAGCGTGACTCTATATCTATGTGAAACTTTGAAGTTAAAATTCAACCACATGGATAGTTCAAAGGAGAGCTAAAGAGAGATTTTTAGGACCAACTCTTTATTTCTGAGAATTACATAATGTTAAATCTGAAAGACACTAGAACTTAGTTCCTTCAAATGACAGATGATTGAGCTAAGGCTCAGAAGAGTTGTGGCTCTTTAAAGCCAGGACCAGCGTGCCTACCTTCTATCAGAGTATCTTGCTGCCCAGGAAAAAATAGACATTTGAGGATGAGTTCAGTCAACTGGCTATAGCATCAGTGATCATGGAAAGAAGTAACAGTATTGTATTTCAAGAATTCTAAGATGCACATTCTTACCCATATTTTTACACCTCTTCCCTAAGTTAGCCACCATATTTCTTGAAAGAAATGAATAGTCATTGCATATATACATTATATAGAGACCAATAACTGAAGGAAAGAGATTTCGAGGGGGTAGGCAATGAGAGAGGGTTATACATGAGGAGGTGACTGCCCAGAAAAAAGTAACCAGGGACCCCATGAGCCGGGTCAGGCCACAATAGCCTCTAAGGATGTTGGAGTATTTGCATTTTACTCCCTTTAACAATAAAGGAGTTATTGTTGCCATGGAATTTTGTACAGTATCTGTACTAAAAATACTTAGAACTGTTTTCAACCTTATATAAAATTATCTTCAACAATATCCAAATAATGAACAACTTAAATACCAATCTTCTGAATGACTTGACAACCTTATAATTTAAATGGAAATGGTACTTAGCATTTTAGATTACTAGTATCTCTTACTTTCAGTTAAATACGTTATACAACTGATGACCTACATAATTTATAAAATAGGAGACTAATGCATTTTCCTGAAATAGAAGTCAAAAGTCAAGATATCCTCAGGCTGTTGTCCATCAGGAGGCATGAAAATTAGGAGTACATATGCTTCAAGAAGTCTGTGTTACGTGCATCTCCTCAGTGTTCCTCACAACCCCCTTGGTACAGCTTTTTGCA